GATTTAAAAGAAAAACAAGAAACTGAAAAAAGTTATTTCTTGTTTTTAAATTTTTCGATTAATGTTTGATTTAGAGCTTTAAATTGAGATATTTGGAATTTTAGGTTCCTTTAAAAAGTATTCCAAATTTATTTTCAATTAACTTCAAAACATAACTACTTTCCAAGAAAAAAAAAATTTTTTTTTGTATTCACAAAAATAATTTATAAGTTTTTTTGATATTTTTATTCAACATTACTACTTCGAATTGTAACATAAAATTTTTCTTTGTTTAAACACTTTCAGAACCAACATAAACATATTTCATCAGAATTTACTGTTCCCATAAGGAAATTGTGTCAATTTCTAGGCTTTTTGATTTAAATTTGTATGCATCAATAAGTTTTAACTCTTTTTACTGTACCGTTTTTTAAAAAAATAAGTTTGATTTAAACAAATTTTTTGTATTCATATTTTCAAATATTTCATTAATTGTACGATTGAAAATTTCAAACTTTTGGACTCAATAAATGATTTGAAAATAAAATTTTTTAAGTTTTGTTCTTTTTTTAATTTATTACTTATCGATTAACTGATTTAGAATTTAAAATTGAAGAATTAGCAGTTTTAACTTTCTTTCAAAGACACTTTTTTTAAATTTGATATTCACAACCAAATTAGAGAGCAAAAAGTATACAACGGAAAAAATTTCTATTTGTATGAACACTTTGCAGGCAGGAAACATATTTCTCAAAAAGTTACTCGGCTCAACATTCTTATATGAGGAAGCTCATTCTACTGTGCATGTACATAGCTTTTTATTACATTTTTTTTTTCAAATAATTTTTAGCCAATTGCTTAATAATTTAAAATTGCGAAGCAAGATTAAACGAAATTCGAAAAAGTTATGCATTTTAATGCCTCATTTTTCGGTTATTTGATTTAGAGTTTTTAATTTGGTTTTGCATCTCTGGCAGCCAATTTCACGAAAGCAATTTAAGTGAAAATTGATTTTAATTTTTTGAATTTTATATGGAAATAGACAGAAATTAAAAATTATTTTCCATTTAAATTGCTGGTGAAACCGGCGGTTAATAACTTAGATAAAGTAGTCTGAAAGGTTTTGGAAATTCATTTGGAAATTAAAAGAAAATTTTAAATTTGCAATCGAAAAATATTTTTATAAACAAAACGAAATGTTTATGTTTTCGAAAATATTATTGCACTCCTAAAAAAAATATAGTTCTTAGCCTTTTTGATGTTTTGATTCTTATCTCTTTGTCTAATGCTTTACATAGCACTATTTATTGTAATTTTTTAAATTTTTATTATTCTTAAATATTGTTTTCATATATTTTTAAGCGTTTTATTAGCCATACCAAACTTTGTAGCTGAGCTAAAAGGAGTTCGATAAAGTTATTGTTTATTGTAGATAATATTAAAACACGAAAAAATAAATTAGTTAACCCAAATATCAAACCACAAAAAATTAGGACATATAACGTCCATAAATACTTTAACATCAACTTTATGTAAATATTATACAAAAATTATTACATTTTTAAAACAACAATAAAAAAATTCCGTAAACACATAACTTTTCAATTTTCAACAATTTTTGTATTAAATATATATTTGCGCAAGTAAATACAATTTTCAATTAAAGAATCGGTTGCTCTCAAAATTTAAAAATATTTTGACGTTTTATTGTTGTTAACATTTCTGTTTCAATTCATTTGTTAACCATATATGTACTCACAAAAATGTGCAACTTATGAAAATTTCACAGTTCTCCTAAAAGCGTCAGCATACAATTTTAAATGCACAAAAACGTCTATTGAGCACAAAAGATTAGTTTTGATACCAATTGTTTACGTCATTCAATTTTCCAATTCCTTCACAACAGCCAAATTTAACACTCAAGACATTAGCGCCGAAAAAAAAACAGCAATAAAAAATATGCAGCTAATATGTTTAATTGAAGCTTAAAATAAACTTCCTTTTTTTCTTCAAATTGATTAAAACGTAAACTCGTCGCAATTTTCGCTGTTCGCGCACCCACAAAATTTGCACCGAATGCGACACCAAAAAATTAAAAAAACCAAACGCACTTCGCGCACGGCTACCGCTACCGCTAGCGCCCGGCCGCACTCGCAAGTGTTAAGCGCTTAAGCCTTTTTACCTTTTGCAAACAACTGCAGATTGCACGCCGGTCGTGTACTCCAATTTCAGTTGCACGTTACTTTTTATTTTTTGGGTCTATTAAATGTCTTTTGTTCTCCCATTTACATACATATTATTTTTTACTCGACCTAAGACACTAACGAATTTTCGTTGAATCGTTGTCTCATCGACAATTTACACATTTTTCTTTAGTTACAATTCATTTGTTTTATTTCATGTCAATTTACCGCGACTCGCTTTCAAATGCAAATGCCGACTCTGGGCGTACGCGTTGTTGTTGTATGTGTCGCACGTATTTTCATTTTCATTGCACACACAAAATGCACAATAATTCACTGTTTACTGTTTATTGTCCACTGCTTTCACTCGCGCATATCCGCTAAACGTTGTCATTCGAATGCGTGCTCTACAGCGACTGAACAGTTCCCCATTTCAATACCCCAATGCAGCCGGTCGTCACACAACAGCACCCGCAGTAGCAGCAGCAACTGTTGTAACAGCAGCAGCCGTTGACTCTGTGGAGCTGAGCTGGTTAGCAGAGAACTGTGCACCAATTGCAAGTGTACACTGTTATCAGATGCATTCGATGCTGTTAGTTAGCAGCGAGCTATTGCGTGCCGTTGCTAAAGTGCAACAATTCCTTGCCGCTGCGCTGTTGTTTGCGGTTGCAGCAGTGGAGAGTGCAGCAGTACACTTTCTAGCAGCGACGCACACTTTTTTATTTAACACTTTTTAAGGCGAAAGAGTTGTCGTTTAATTTAAGAAACATATTAAAAAATAATAAACTTAACTCTCGTCCTATCCGACTTCAATTCTCATATACAAATTTAATAGTTTTGTTAATTTCTTCATGGCCAAATGATCGGATCTAAACCAAATTAGTATGAGGCAACACCTTTGTGATAGAAAAAGAATTATCGAAATCTCTTGACGTGGTCCAAAGTTATGCGGCAACATATATAAAAAAAAATTAAAAAAAAAAGTATTCCGACGAACAGATAACCTTCCCCTTTTTTTGGAGTCGCTTAAAAAGTAAACAATTACCATTCATGCTCCTATGCCCATAGTTGCGTATGTAACGTATACGCCCCGTAGCACCATACGAAGTCAACTAATAATTTTACTCGCACGCATTAAATTAAAAGCCATATTATTTAAAAGTGATTAAATATTATCGTTTAAGATTTTTACACAGTATTCCTATTTTAGATTGAATTTTGAGTGCACCAATGATTGACATGGAATTTTCCATACATGCTTTTTTGCAGTAGAAATTTTTTTTCGGGTTTCCCTGAAGGAAATTTTGAACAATTGTAGATATGTATGTATGTTTGTATGTATATGAAACCAAGGTTTTAATTAGTCAGTTGGAATTTTAAAAGCACTCACCACATGCGTATGTACATATGTACACAGTTTTAATTTTAATAGTAAATATCTCTATATTTGCAGTAAAATACCATTCTGCTAAACTGAAAAATTCATAAAATGTATGGTATGGTAATGGTACTATGTTTGCGTGCCAGCTGGAAACTACTTGAACCTAAAGCAAAATTTAGTCTACCAATCGTCACCAGCACTTGTCTCTGACGTCTTTTAATAGTTCTTAAATAAATTTATAATTTAAATCAATAAATATTTATAGCAGAATTTTTATTGCGTTCACATGTGTGTTTGAATATAGATACATATCTATATTTCATTAAATTGCTATTTGCAAATAAATCCATGATTTTAAATTTAAAAAATTTTGAAATTTCAGTAGTTGCTAGGCTAAGCTAAACTAACGCATAGTCATCTTTTTATAGAAGTACTTGAGAGTAGACGGTTGTGCTTTGCAATTGCCTACCTAGACCGCGCTGATAAGTTCATTTTCAGGATTAAAACCTAAGTATGTATGTATAAACAAGGCGCTGCTTGAAGAAATGCATAACACACACAAAAATTATTATATTCGTGAAACTAGGGGCCACATACAGTAAACGAACAAATTATTTCAAATATTTTGTTCAATAAATTCTGCATTCACATAAACTCACTAAACTAGCGGTCAAATATAGTAAAACTACGTTTTTAGTTTTTCCTCTGGCGTTAGAATTTTTTTTTAAAACTTTGAAATTTCAAGGATAAAGTTAATACGAAAAATTATTTAAAAAAGTTAGTGTAATGTAGAGTGACAATATGTGTGTCAAATAAAGAAACATTCTGTAGAATTAAAAAAAAAAAAAAAATTTGTTGGTGCATCATAACGAATAGATATTAAAAATGTCCTTTGATGGATCCTTTAAGCCGTCTGATGGATGCTTTAATCCGTAACACTCACTCAACTAATAAATAGAAAATTACTGCCAAAGTGT